ACCCACGCTTTCGCGAAGACGTCCAGTGTCCCACGTTTCGTTACAGAGAGACGCCCTGGGTGTCGCTTGCAGAGTGCCCGGAGAGTGGTCCCTCCCTGGATTCATCTGGTAAAATGGCTGTGGGAATAAGGGCAGGGCTGCTACCCACCGCTGCTGAGCCAGGCAGCTGCAGACAGTTTGCTAACGCCGGTGCATGTAGCCCGAAGAGCGAAGAGCGGGGCGCCTGGGGTGAGAAGCCAGGAGCGGCTAGGTGCCTGCCGAGGCCCTGCGGGGTTCCGGTGGTTCCTCCCGCGCCCTCCGGTTCCGCGGCCCCAGGGGATGCGGCTTTGAACGTGCCCGGGGCTCCCGGCCCCGGCCCCCGGGAGCCGAGCGCGCGCCGGCGTTAGCGCGGCTCGGGCAGGCAGGGCGCGGCTGGGACGCGGGGCGCTACAGGCTCGGGGGCCCCGGCGGGGCCCGGGACGTCCAGGCCCGACGAGGCCGGGTCGCGGGGACGCCACAAGGTGCGAAGAGGCGGGAGCCTGGGCGCCCAGCTGGATGACACGCAGGGACGCGGCTTTGCCAACACCAAACTTTCTTTTTCTTAATCAAAAAAGTTTTCCACTGTCTCTAAGTGGCGCCTTTAAAGAGTGTACCATGTGAGGCGTGAAAGTGCTGTTTCAAACGTAGCTTCCCTGGGAGAATCCTGGAGTTTGGTACTTTGGTACGTGTTGCAGTTTTTCTTTAGCTGGCTCTCAGGTGGCGGCGTGCAGGACAGCGTCACCTGGCCCGTGGCTCCAGGAAGTTTCTGTAGAAGGTGGAAGGAGGTCCAGATTTATAATTTTGAAAGAAAAGACCCACCTGCAGGTAGGTTGCTAGTAGGAAAGGGATTAGGTTTAAAGTAGAGTCTGGATTTAATTGTGCCCTGGGTTCAGGCCTCAGGGAAATTACAAAAGGTTCAGGGACAGTTGAATGAGAAAAAGCCATGCCTGCTTGCTTTCAGAGAGGAATTTTTATCCCTCTATTTACCTGTGATTAGGATTCAAGACACTGCAGAATCATGCTGGTTACGGGGTTATCACTGGATTTTTTACGTGCTTAGTCAACATTTTCATAGTATGAGGTGCTGGGAAGATAGTCGTGGGTCTTGTCCTCATGCAGCTTAGGGTCTGGAGGGGAAGATGGATTTTCAGCAGACTCAGGATGGAGAGTTCATCATTGTGACGGGTGCTGGGACAGGCTCCTGGGGCTTCAGTACTCCGGGTGCAGTTCATTCATTCATTCATGCAGTCAGCAAAGACTTCAATGCATTGGGTANCTGGCTTCCCCAGAGAAAACCTTTTGAAGTGAAGCAGGACTGAAAAGTTTTCCTTGATAGTTATGTTCTAAATAAATTAGACTCCATTCTTTTAAGAAATTCCAGGTTTTGAAAGTAGTCTTGGGCTCCTGCCTAGTTATGTATGTCTTAGGAGTCCATTAGGACTGGTCACTTCTGTACCTTTCTTTCAGGTACCAAGTGAGGACTGAGTTTCCAAACTCGGCTTCATACTCTATGGAAAGACTGCTGCCACAGCCAGCAGTAGATGTGCCTTATCACTGGCTCTTCATGCATAGTTTTGATGAGGTGTGAGCTCGAGAAGGTTAAAACTTTCTCCTTTCTAATGGACAGGGACAAAGTTGTGTTTTTATCAGTAAAATCGGCTGATATAATTTATAGGGATATACAGGAAGCAGATGTCTGTCTTGGCAAGTTGCCATTTTTAAAGCCCTATTCCAAGCATAAACCACACTTTTAAATAATTAGTAACTAATGAGATCCAAAAATGAGTTGTCAAAATAGAAAAAGGGGGTAGACTCTTGAGTGACCAGGGGCCTATTTTTTAAAAATCTGTTTCAAACAAGGGGGGTAGGAATTAGTATTCTCTAAAACCATTAATTAGTGCAATTTCTGTCAGTGCCTGGGGCTTTACCTCTTCTCACATGAACCTCTCTCTCTGGTGATGAGTATTTGGAAGGTTTATTGCTTTGTTAAAATGAAATCCTTTGCTTGGGGGGAAAACCAACAACTCCATAAAACCCAAGTTTGTCAAGGAACTTTGGTGACTTGTCTCGTCACTCCCATTAATTAGCTCCCTCTACTAAGGAAGAGACTTACTTCTTACCAGGGAGCCCATCTCTTCATGGTTGTGTGTTTTTTGTTTTTCCTGGTCCATTGTCTTCTATCCATGTACAGTTTTAATTTAGTAACTGCATCCAAATTTGACCAGTAAAGCTGAATGTGTGTTTTGCGTGAAAGAGTTATAGTCAATGCTATTTATCCAAAATGGTTAAGAATGGAGTGTTTTGATTCATTAAGTATTCCTGTTAGAGTTTTTAGTTTTTTATATAACTTGTAAGTTTTCAAAGAAGCACTGGTTATAAAGGGAAAGATGTGTAGCTAAACCAGGTGGAAGGAGGTCCAGATTTATAATTTTGAAAGAAAAGACCCACCTGCAGGTAGGTTGCTAGTAGGAAAGGGATTAGGTTTAAAGTAGAGTCTGGATTTAATTGTGCCCTGGGTTCAGGCCTCAGGGAAATTACAAAAGGTTCAGGGACAGTTGAATGAGAAAAAGCCATGCCTGCTTGCTTTCAGAGAGGAATTTTTATCCCTCTATTTACCTGTGATTAGGATTCAAGACACTGCAGAATCATGCTGGTTACGGGGTTATCACTGGATTTTTTACGTGCTTAGTCAACATTTTCATAGTATGAGGTGCTGGGAAGATAGTCGTGGGTCTTGTCCTCATGCAGCTTAGGGTCTGGAGGGGAAGATGGATTTTCAGCAGACTCAGGATGGAGAGTTCATCATTGTGACGGGTGCTGGGACAGGCTCCTGGGGCTTCAGTACTCCGGGTGCAGTTCATTCATTCATTCATGCAGTCAGCAAAGACTTCAATGCATTGGGTACCCAAAGGTGAACAGAAACAAGCAGAAGAGTTGTCCTCTAGCTCTAGTGAGCCACATGATCACCAGTACTGGTTAAAAAAAGGTCCGTGGGTACCACCTCCAAGATACTAGGGATTGGACCTGGAATCTGAATGTTTCATAAGCATTGTAGCAAGGATGAATCAGGTCTCTCATGTCCCACACTGAGAAAACGTGCTGTGGGTGGGGTTAAACTGTGCTCGTGCCATATTTTAAAGATGATAATTGAAATAAGTTTTGGGAGAGCATTAAAAAAATTAGAGAATGGTTCTGAGATTGTTAGAGCTGGAAAGGACTGTTGCAAATTTCTCCTTCAAGGGTTCATTAGGTGGATTTGCAAAAGAGCTTGGAAGGCCTGTGAGCCCTTGGAAATCAAATACACACTTGTGTATGTTTAAGGGTATTTGTGTGTTTAGGGGTATTTTTCTGGGAACGAATCTATAACTTCTAACATATTCTCAAAGAGCAGTGTACACCGCCTTCCCCCAAGTCTCTCTGGGTGATTCTGTCCTGTGACAGATGAGAAAACTGCTCTGGACAACTGCAGGGGGCGCCATGACAGATCACCAGGTCAGAGCCTCTGCGTTTGGGTTTGGTGGCAGCTTTGCAAAAGGAAGTCTTGCAGCCCCCTTCACTATGGTCCTTTTGTCAGGGCTCTTTGAGGGATGTTTCTGAATTTGTAGTGGATCTCACATTGATATGTAAATTTGACTTGGTGCTGCTTTTTTTCTTTTTTTCTTCTTGGAAAGCTGGTCTTAAATAACTTGTGTGTTTTACAGTGAATGACAGTGGATAATCAAGGAAAAGAAATGGCAGTTAGTGGAAGAGCTGGCACTGCAGTGCCACGCAGCCTCTGGGTGTTAAGCTTTTCTAGTTACTTAAATTTTGGATCAAGGTGAACTCCTTGTACAATAAAGAAAGAATTTGCAAGTCCGTTGCAAATCTGAGTTAAAGTGGGCTAGAAATATTTCATCTGATATTTTAACTCTTTAATTCCCTTAATCAGTGAAGCAGTTGCATATTTTACTTCACTAATTGTCCTGATGGAAAACGGTGGTGTCTGCTAAATGCAGAAAATAAGCAGATGACTTGGCTGAAGAAATGTTCACCATGAGTTGCAGTCTAGACAGCTTGAAGCAAACATGCTAGCGAGGGTGCTTTTCGTCTTTTCCTGCATTTTTTGTAGGTGTAGATCACGACTGCAAAAAAAAAGAACATGAATGAAATAGAGTGGAAATTGATGAATAATGAGTTAGGACAATTATCACATGAATGCAAGACTAACTGAACTTGCCTGTAGCGGAGTTTTAATATTTCTTAAGTGGTCCCAGTCTTTGCTCTCAGCAATCTTTTGACTTTTCCTGTGGGATGTCCAGAGTGTGTTGTCCTCTTACCTTTGTTTGTTTTAAAAATGTAACTCCAGTGAATTGAAATGTTCACATGTGTTAAGAAAGCTTAAGGAGTATGGTTCACCTGAATGAATTCCGATCAAGAGGTGTATTGCAATTCAGATATTTTAGTGAAGGAAGGAGAAATCCCTGGCGTCTTGCTCAGAATTATCCCCTCATGCAAAACTTGAGTAGAGCTTGGATTTGAAAGATTTTCAGATGCTCTTTAAAACATCTAATTAATAATTAAAACCTTCCTTTCTTTGAAAAGTTGTCATAATGCCCCTTCCTATAAAGTTGGCCGCCTGAAGAGGCATTTGTAGAAGCAGATTTACTAGAGTAACTTGACTTGGGTCTCATACTATAAACAGCTGAAAATTGAGATATTTAAGCCACTTAATAACAAATGCCCAGTAGGAATTTCACTTTGGGGAAAGTCTCAATTTATGGACATGTCCCTTGCTCTTCCATCGGCATGTGTGGAGAGTATTTGACTGGCTTGCCAATGGAACTTAGAGGCATTTTTGCAAGAAAACCTGTGGAGAAGGGTCTTGCAGATTTCAAATTTGCTAAAGGCTCTAGGCACCTCCTCAGGTGACAGATGAAGTGGGCTTTTGAGTGAGATTTTTTTCCACTCTTATTTGAAGTTGATGGCGCTGTTGTTTTATTCAGGCGTTCCTGGTAGCAGAGTTGAAGTAATGAGAAGGCAGCATGGAGGCCCAGTCCCACAGCTCCACGACTACTGAGAAGAAAAAAGTTGAGAATTCCATAGTGAAATGCTCCACTCGAACAGATGTCAGCGAGAAAGCCGTGGCCTCCAGTACCACTTCCAATGGTGAGCAGCCACAGGGATTACCGGCAGCCAAGCCTATAGCCATTTTTATGTTCCCTGCATTCCTTGTGAATTGAGCCTTTGCACCTGGAACAGTGTTCTATGAGAGGCTAATGAAAGCAAATGGGGGTGGTCAGTGGGGGATGAGGGATGGGCAGGCTGTAGTAATCTCTATTTTGGCACTGCAACTCCACATTTTCTTCCAAACTTTCTAATTTGAGATGTAAATGTGATAGGTTATTTATTGTAGGAAGTTCCTGTTTTGGCATTTTGGAAATCATCTTGATTAGTCTGGCAGGAGTTCAAAATACTTTGCATTTCACTTGGAAAGTCTACACTCATTGGAATAATTAGTTATTACTTATTACAAAAGAGCTATAAGTTGCCCTGTCAAAATTAGTGACAGATTCCCACCCCCAATTTGAAAACTCTGAGTAGTCCATGCTAAAGGATTTTAAACGCTGTTAATGGTTGAACCTCAAGGTAATATTTGTATCTGAGATGCAGGCTTTGCTGTTGCATTACAAAAATTTGATTTACTTAATTGTGTTCAGAGATAGCATAAAGCCACTGTTTCTCAGTGCTATGTTTTTAAATATTTTAAGCACAGTGTTGAGAGTCATTTCAATTCAAGCATGGAGCATTGAAAATAAATTCCAGAGTCCCCTCTGGAAAAAAACAGACTGAATAGGTTAATGGGAACCTTCACTTCCTTTCCCCGCTTTTCAACTCTTGCAGGCCATGAGCGCATTTGCTTTGTGTAGATTTCATAGTCACCTGGCCTCTGCGAATTGTTATCCACTTTTCCAAGTGCCTTTAGGAAGAATGAGCTGGCCTCTTCTCCCAGTTCCTGGACACTGCAGATCTGGGCACACTGATTTCCATGAGCCCCAAACTGTTTCCTCCCTCCTGTGGGCTTATATTTTATTTATTTCAAGAAAGGTGTACTAGGTTGATGTACAATGTTTTACATACAAGTGGAGCATCAGAATCTGCTGTGGAAGGTGATGGCAGCCCAGAACCTTAGACTTGCAGGGCAGATATCCAGCGGAAACTCTGCTCCTTGTCCTTCTGTCCTGCTGCCCAAGCTGACTCTGAGGGATCTGGCCCTTGTTCTCTGCCCATCCTCACCTGCAGAAAGTACATGGTGCTAATGTGGCCTTCTTCCCTGATGTCAAGTACAAGTTGCAGGCTTGACTGGGCGCGGGGAGGGGCTGGTGTTAAATCTGCTGGCTGATGAGTCCAGTTTTGAATTGAATCTTAGGGAGGTATATTTCTGTCTGAGTTAAAATAATGAATTTACACTACATACGTATGAAAATTTCTCCTTATTTGTGGTGTTGAAAGTCAGTACTGGATTGTGATTTAACTGAGCCAGATATTTGTTATTCTTCCAGTGTGGTTATAGAAAATATATCTTGTCCTTAAAAGAAGATCATGTGACTCTTGCTTTTTTTTTTTGAATTTGTAAAAATTAGGCAAATTATTTCAGAAATAGAACCAGTATGTGTAGTATATGTTACTTGGTAATTTTAATAGTAATTTTTTAAGGATAAGCACTTTCTGGGCATTACGTGACATGAAACACCAATGTTGTGTGTGTGTGTGAGTGTTTTGAGAACAGACAGGAATGGGTGGGTGTACTTGGTAGGTGGTGACACTGTGCTGTGTGGAGCCACTGTCCTTGCTCTGCAGTTCAGCATAGTGACAGCAGGGTCCGTCTCTTCTAATGTGGTGCTGCTTCCGCCAGTCGTACACCTGGACATGTTTCTGGTGGGGTCCTGGTGCTGCTATGTTTTCTTGAGCTGTTCTGACCATGAGTGCCCCTCATGAGTCCGTTTGAGATGACTTGGAGCAGAACTAACCTAACCAGTCCCACAGCAACTGGGAAGCCACTGGAGAGCAACAGCCAGAGAAGGAGCAGTCTTGATTGACAGAGTTAACCCTACAGTCTGAAATAATCAGAGCTGATTCCTAAACCAGACTCCCCTGGCTTCCCACGCTCATGCCTGTGCCTCTGAAGCATGCCGGCCCTCCTGAACGGGTGTAAAATCTGTCCCGTTTGAGGGCAAATGCTCATTTGGTTTGCAGGGCACATGCCCGAGTCATCACTGTCCTAGAAATCCTGCCAGCTCTGACCATATTTTTTTTTTTTGGTGTTTCTGTCTCTTCCAAGGGATTTACTACTTTTTGTTTCGGGATAACATACAGACCCAACTGCTTTGCTGGTAGATCATAGGAAAACCAACAGACAAATTGAAAGACAGGAAAAAGTAAAACAAAGGAAAAGAAACCTTTTTCTTGGTAATTGCTTCATGTAAGCAGTGCCAATAATTGTAAGATCTTTGTAACAGAGTCCTCTGGGTTTCATCTAACTAGTTCACAGCCTCTTTGCAGCCCCAGGATCCTGCTCCAGGGGGTGGACTAGCCCAGCCTCTTCTTTGTTCTGCAAACTCTTAACCTGTCTCAGGCTTCCTGCATACTCAGCAGTGGTCATGCAGCTAGTCTGGGGGCTTTAGTCTAGGTTTGGTTTGGGTTTTAGAAGTGGTAGGGTGCAGGCTCTCAAAGGCTGGCACGCTGTGTGTGTGCTGGCTGATGGCTGCCTTTGCCGTGGTCATCTGTCTCTCTGTCTGTCCTGTCTGTCTGCCTTCTGTCTTTTCTATATAGACTTATCAGAAGTGCTTGTGTATCTGCATTGAGGCTATTCACAAAAAGGGAATTAAAATCATTTGGCTCCTCTAGTAGTTGGTACTGATGGCTACTGTTTCCAGGGGTTTCTTAAGCTTTCTTTACAAAGCTCCAAAATTCAGGGATTTGTAAATAAACAATTAAAAATTAGTTTCAAGAACCAAACTGATGTAATATGTGCATTTCTTTTCCCACACACAATTTCATGATTAAAATAAAACAAACACAAAAATTTTGTTATTGGTGCTGTGTTAGGTTGACTTGATTAACTTTTCCAGCCATTATGTGCTCCAATTTGTTCCTGATCATGAGCCTTCCAGCCAAACCACTCACATTCCACTGCATGTCCTTACAGATCTGTTTTCTTAATTTTCTCAGCTGAGTATCTACTCCTAGGATAACATTCATACAGAGTTTTGTTTAAAAAACACACACATACAACCAAAATGTACAGTTCAAAACCTTTGAACAGCATTCTAAATAAGCATTTAACCTTTTTAACACTGGAATGCAAGATAGCACAAGTGAAAAACTGTGTCTAAATCTTGTATGGGAACAAAGAAAAGCCAAATTTGGTTTTTGTAACATTTTAGAATCTGAGAACCTATATCAACATATACAGCATTCTGATCCAGGAACCACTCCATGTGTGTTTCGTGTGCCATAGTTTGCTTTTCAGCTTTAGTGTTATTTATTAAACTTAAATGACAAAAGGGAAGACTTCGTTTTCCTAGTTTTTGTTAAAAGTGCAGTTGGATTTAAGTGCTCATTTTGGCATCTGACAGAGTTCACAAAAAAAGTGTGCACTCAGGTATTGGGTATCATTGTTTACTTAAAAATCTTCAAACTTGTTAATATTCTAGTTCCATAAGTAAAATGCTCTAATAATCTGTTTCTGGTATGGATTCATTGCTTTTTAAGCTACGTGTGTTTTGTAAACAGCAGATGTTTCTGAATCTATGTTGTCCGATGTTTTCAACACCCTTATTATCCTATAAATTTCTTTTATGACCTATGAGTACTAACTTTTCAATTTGAAGTGTTTTGTCTCATTTTTGGCCTATGACTTATTCTTTCAAAGTAGTAATCTGATATTTCTTATTAACCTACTACTCTGCTTTAAAAAAATAAACATATGTAGGCTGTGTTCTCGGGGATCTTTTATTGGATATGATAGTTATATGCGTACCTTAAAGTGGTAGAAAGCAGAAATTATCCTAATGGTGATGCAATATGAAATCAAAGTTGATAGATTAATAATGGAGGGGAAGTTCCCTGTTTACTTTGATTCTCTCCGAAAGAAGGGCTTGGTTCTCTTTTGCTTAAAAAAAAAATTCTTCAAGGTTTATAAGGGGAAAGCATCATGGTCCACAAATATGTAAGGGGGACTTTTTAATTTTAGTTTAACGTTTGGTTACTCCCTGACCTTGCCATTTTCTTTCAGACTTTCCAATAACACCTTTGGGTGTTAATTGTGATATCTGTCGGTCTCCTGGCTGGGAGTAAGGTGTCTTTAGTTTTTTTTGAGAGTTTGGAATTTATCAGGTTTGTTCTCCACCAGAAGCTCTTGTCTCTTTGACCTTTTTTATGGCAAGACTCTATGTACCTAATTCTGCTCAGAAATGGGTGGGCAGTTCATGCCTTATTGACAATAGGTTGTGAGTTTTAGGCTTCTTGTCCCATCAGATGTTCAACTCCTTTTTTTTCTTGGCCACATTCTGTGTCCTGGCACATCACAGAGGGCAAGGACTGTCAGGTAAAATGAATTTCAAATTATAGGATGTTGGTTAGGGACACCCACAGATTTGGGGATCTGAAAGCTTGGGGAGTCCTTGGCAGCACCAAGGACTAGCTGGTGAGTGGGGGCAAATTAACTTCTCAAAGTCTCGGTTTCCTCATCTGTTTAGCAAGATAATAATTAGACCCACTTCACAGGATACCCCCCCACCACCTGGAGGATTAAGCAATGCAATGCCTGTCCCATTCTATAAGCACAGCACAAGCTAAAAGCTTGGCGAATGTCAGCCATTGTGATTAGGACAAAGCCTGTGGATGAGTTAAATGCTACAAATCTGAAACAGAAGGGTTGTGTTTTCTTGAAAATACACATAGGTCTTGAAATTAAGGGAAAAATGTTTGGCACAAATATTTTTGAATTTGTGGGACTCTGTGTGAAAAATAGTTCAGTATATTTCGCACATCCCAAATGTGACCAAGTTTGCACATCTTGAGGAAGGAAGGATTAAAACAAAGTTTCTGTACTTTCCTTCTAATGCTTTCTTAAGTCAGAAAGAATAAAGGAGGTAATTTTGAGA